TGGGATATCTAAAAGAGAAGTTGCATGTAATTGTCTTCTCCAGCTATTTCTAAATAGTTTAGAAATATTTGTTTATTTAGATAAAGAGTTGATGGGAAATAGCAAATATTTTAAAATAAAATGTGCAGTAGTACACAAAGGCATGCAAGCCATTTAGTGATTGAAGTGATTGTACCAGGCTGTTTTCTCCTGAACACATGACATGTTGCCTTTACTTTCAAGGCAGCACAATAAGGACATAAGTGACAAATTAAACTTGCTAGATGGAAACAACAAAAGAAATGGACATTTAAACATTAACATTCTTAGAGCTATAACAGGTATCATAACAGACTAAGCATGACTGAAAATAAATATTAAGATCATTATAGAGAACCAAGAAAATAGTTCATCACTGAAGTATACATGATGCTTCAATTGAAAAGAAAAAACAAACACCATCTTTACATCTTCACTAAACTTAGTTTGGCCCAAAATCAGAGCTCAAATTGCCAGATAGACACTGAATATTTTGGGAAAAAGGGAGGCTAATTACTTGTAAAGCTATTGGACTTCTGCAGGAATATGAACACATGACATTAAGACGGTTCTCTTAATGTAAAGATAAGGCCTGCCCATGTTCCAAGCAACCCAGTGATGACCTCTACTACAGAAGCGCCAGTAAAAAGTATGTTATACCACATTTATGCAGTAGAGATGCACCATTTCTTCTATCCGAAGTGTTACTGCATCCAAAGTCACTGTAGAACATTTGATCTGGTGTTTATTCCATTAGGAAACAGAATGTGGCATAAGAAAAATGGAATAGCAATGGAAACATCTTTTGTGAAAAAATTTAAGTCTTTTTATGGCAAAGATGTATTTGCTAGTTTTTGAAAGTAAAAATTAAATTGGTAGCATATCAAAACGTTTAAATCTGTGAAAATGGTTTTATCACAGAATTCTGTTGTCACTGGAACGACCTAAGGAACCCACAAAAACATTAAGATTTCTATGCTGAAAACAAGTATTGATGTGAGCGTACTCTTTGGGATGCAGATGATCCATGTACTGACATCAGATTTTAGGTAATACTTTGTGAAGAACAGTCACCTGAAAAAAGACTGTCAACAAGTGCTAATACCATTTCCAGAGATCTCATTTCAATTTACTGGTGCCATAACAGTACAAAATCCTTATAATTTGTCTAAATTCCTTTCAGTATTTTGTCACTTATTGCCATCCTACAGCTTTTTGAAAGGGTTAATTCCATTTAGCTAAGGAATCTACACCACATTGCAAGAGGGTATTAACACCTGTGTAAACATTAGATATTTTCATCTAAGGTTTTAGTTTTTTTCTGGTTTTAAGTTTGTCAGAAATACTACACAAAACATCTGTTTTTATTTTTCCCATTTATGCTCTGTCCTGGTTTACTGGAATAGAATCAGTTGGCCAGCACTGGTATGTGATAATGAAGGTCTTCAGCAATCTTGTGTTAAACAGGTATTGAAGCTGGGGGGAGTGGAAACCCAGGGCAGTTGACCCCAAGCTGACCAGCAAAAATTGTTCTAGACCATAAACATCACATTCACTATAAATTAGGGGATTTACTGGAGACGGCTCTTCTTCCTCGATGGCTTACCTCCCAAAAGGGACTTGCCCATCGTTCTACTCCCAAGGCCATGTTGCATTAACTTCTTATAATTTTATTACATAATTTTATTATTTCTCTTGTGAAGGAATAGGGTTTTATGCATCTGGCAATCTAAATGATCAGTGCTCCTTGCATTACAGTTTGAGAGAACAGGACTGCTTTACTTCAGATTATGAGTAGCTGTCCATTTAGTCAAGGCAAAAAGCCTAAAAAAAACCTACTCAGAAACATTTGATCTGGGAAAAGAACAGAAAGAACAGATCAGGATAAATGAGAAATAAAGATTTTTAAGATATGATCTACAGGCATTCAGTGAGATGTATGATGACATTTAAATTTACCTTTTATATTACTTATATCAGAAATGCACTTGTCTCTACAGTTTTGGTCATCCTGTCTACAGAAAGGATTCTAAATATGCAAATTTAACAGGCCAAACAAATAAAGGTATATCTTTTCAAGAAACAGATTCTGCTATGATAACAGGCTACTTTCTACAGTACATAGTACAAACTTCGGAGAAGTGGGTGATTTTTTGTGGTCTCTGATGAAGATACACTGTTGCGTCACTCAGTTACACATCTTTAGCAGTAACAATGTAGCCTATCATAATATTTGTAGTATATTTGGGCAGCCCAGTTAATTACTGAAGTATCATGTGAGCTTGCCTTAGGGCAATCTGGAAAGTAGAACAGAATTAGCCTGTAGGCAACAAACTAAATTAATTAATCGTTATGATGATGTTCCATATAGCAAGAGAAAAATCCAAAATACATGCATCTCATATATTCTTTAGTATGAGAGAGAGAAACAGAACATCACAGCTTTCCCCCACAAAGAAAGATGCCAAATAGCATTGTTTGCATACTAATGTCACTAGATCAGATAACGTCACTACTTTGTGAAGCAGAGAAGTGATTGCCCAATGCCACAATGTTATCAAAGGTACAAAAGAAGAATCCGAACAAGTAATATTTAACACACAAATGCTCTTGAGGGGAGGTACTTTTGTTTATCTCTGCAGTTGAGAGAATTTTGGAGAAAGGTAAGATATGAAAAATCATTTAAATAATGAAAAAAAATTACTATTTCTAGCAAATAAAAGATTAGGTCTCTACACTGGGCTTCCTGAGAAAATGTGATCCATTTCTAATAGTAAGAGGACAGCATTTCTTTAGCAGTCATCATGGCAGTCTCTGTCACCTTGAAGAATTTAGCAGGCCAGAGAATATAGGAAGAAGTTGAGGCTGAGGACACAGTCAGGAAGATATCAAGGATTTTTGCCTTGAGGAAATGAAGGAGGAAATATTTTCCAAGCCTAAGTGGGCTGTGCACTGGTCTGATCCTCATATGCACAATTCTCCAGAAATGAGAGTAGAGCTTGTTACATGTATTTTCTTGTATTGCTTCTAAGAAATGATACCAAACTGGCTTTTAGACAGCCCAGACACTCATTAGTACAACAGCTAAGGAGAAATTTGACTTCTGATTTCAGTTTGTTTAGGAATACTGGAGGTTTTTTTCAATAAGAATAATCACTCATACTTATCTAGCAGATATTTGCAAGACAAAGTCATGGTCAAGTTCATTAAGTGACATAACTAAATAAAGACTTACTAAAGATTTATGATTAAATGACATGAAACCTCACCTCAACCAAATTAAGCCCCAATTTTGGTTTTGACAGGAAAATTTTCTTCCTGCAGGAGATTATATTCTAGCATCAACCATGGAGTACATCCTTGGCTGAGAAATCTTGATAGAAAAGGATGGCATACATAGCTGGAATTTTATTCTAGTCTCTTCTAGCAGATTTTTAATTTCAAGAGATTTCAGTTGGTTGTTTTAAGAGGATCTACATATGCATTAAAAATGTAAACCTGAGTGGCAATATTGTAATGAAATTGGACTTATTTTTCTAAACCATGTTATATAGAAAGGTTCCTCACTCCCACTTAGATAGGAGTTATTTTGACATTGGCTGTGACTAGCAGTAAGAGTGGGTCTCAAATGGGTAACAGATTGGAAGGACAAGACTAATTAATGATGTGAGCAAAGTATTCAAACATGAAGAGAAATGTTAAGATCTTTTTTACTTTGTCATGCTGTGCAAAGCAAACAACCTCACATTTAGGATACTTAATTCAATTTGTGTTACACTACTGATGATTATGAAATGCATTTTGAAGAGGTTTGTTTTATCTTCTCCTGTAACTGCAGAAAACATACAGACTTATTTCCTATATGAAAGAACAAATGTAAGTGGAGACACACTTTGTAAACTCTATAAGAAAAAAACATATCTAATGAAAAGAAAAATTCAGGATATATTTAAGCAGATGTAACAATTAAGGTTTTCATAGTATCATTTAACAAAATGGTGTCATGATTCTTGGTTGGACCAGCTAGAATAAAAAAAAGAAATCAGCATTTTCTCTTTATTTGACATTTCATGTATTACTTCTACACTCATGCACATAAAACTCACACATACATCTTCCTATTAGCAATAGACTTAATGGGGATTTCCTTCATTATAAGAGAAATAAGAGACTGACTTTGACTAAATACCCTGACAGGATAGTGTTTTATTTAAAAAATTAAAAAGCCAAGATGGAAAAATTTTGCTGAATATCCAAGTAAGTACTAATACATAAAGCACTACTTGCAGCATTCTTGTGATCGTTTCTAGCTCTTTCTTATAAGACCCTCAAAGATATCTGGATGATTGTAAATTTACTGTTCAACAGTATTAAACGGGTCTTTTTTCCCCACTGCACATGAAATTCCATTGCTATAGTACTACACAATGACATTATGTCCTTCCAGAAGTGCTCTAAAGCATAGTGATACAAACTGCCCTTCTGGGCTTTGCTGATCTAGCAGATACCTCTTTCTTGTAAAAGTGCCTAACTTAAATACTTTAAAACCTTTATACACAAAACAAACAGGCTTAAAAGGTGTTTCGTTTGGGGGATTTAGTAGATACTCAATTTTATGCTCCCATCTATACCCAGTCAATGTAGGATAAACATTTTATTTATCAACATAGTTTTAGATTTTCATTTTACAGCGTATGTCTGGATTTTCAAATTAATAGCAATATAACAGGCGGTAAATCCATCCTTTCATTTTATTTAAGCCAGTGAGCTCACTTCTGGATCAAAATTCAGTATTCATTTTACTATCTTCTTATCTACTGTAAAGATATTGGAAATAAATGAAGACATATAATGAAGGTACCATTAAACAGATTATCTAGATTGTAATTGCCCAAGGGACAAACTCATAAAGTAACTGGAAATCAACAAAGAAACTTAGAACTAAGTTGTTCAGATACACATTATATATGTTTTATATTTACCTTCATTTTTCTTGATGGTGAAATTTGGATTGTTGACCATTTCAGGAAGAAGACTGTACAGGAAATAATGCCCATTTTTAGGATCATCTTTGTCAATGGCACTGACAATCTGAATTACCTACAACAGAAAACACTCTCATTAGGTATTCATGCGCCTGATAAACATACACTATTGAAAAAAATGTGCCATTCTATCAGACACATTCTCATTTGTCTACATGTCAGATGAAAAATGCTAATTTATAATATTATAAGGCTTTTAAAGACTTCAGACTAAAAGTCTGAGGAATAGGGACTGTATCTGGCCCATTTAAGCTGTTTCCAGAACAAGGAGGCAGAAAATAAGCGGGGACAGGTACAGAAAACACACCAGTAAAAGCTGCTGCTTATTTAGGCAAATAATAAATTATTATTCAGCAATAAAGAAGAAGGAAAACTGTGTTTCAGAAACACTCATGATGTCTACGGTAGTCTTCCATTCATATAGCCATGCTTCACAATAGATCAAAATGTATACTATACAGTTAATCTTTTCTCCCTGCCCAACTCCACCCCATTTATTACTTTATTGAATATTTTTTTAAAATTAACTTTTGGTGTGAAGTTTTATGTGATAAATGATCTAATAAAGAAAAGAAAATATCTACGTCTGTATTTGGAGTTTTTCCTTAATGTTTTCCTTAATTAAATAAAACCTCACTTATTCTTGTACTATGAATATAGGTTTGTTTTAAAAATATTATTATTAACAAATAATTCCCAGAATAATGCAGGACAGTAAAGTTAGGAGACAATGTTTGGATAGCCTGAATATCTTTGAATAATCAAATAACTTTGTATGAAGCATCTTAGATGATTTCTACACCCAACTACAGTCTCTGCATTGTATTTACCTCCAGCATTACTCAGAAAGATACTGCAGCTGTTCATCTTCAGATCATACAAAATTGCATAGGAATATGAAAGGATGAAACATTATTTAAAAAAAATCAGGAGGTTTGAGAATTTTTTTAATATTTGGTGCAATTACTTTTGATTCAAATTATTTTCCAGAGAATTAGAAACAAAGACAGCTATGGATACAGATCCTGCACTCAGAGCTGAATTCCAGTGGTAGCTGGCTCATGCTAGATGAGGTTTATATGAAATTTAATGAGAATTATTGACCTTTCTCATGTCCATTGAATTCAATAACATTTTTGTCTTATGTAGTTATTTTTCTAATGCTTAAAGCAACTGACCAATAATTTCTTGGACAATTAAATTCAAAATAGGAATCACTACTAATTTAATTTTTAAAGAGTAGAGTGAAAAATGGAAACAGGGTCTGATGCTGTCCTAATTCATAGACTTTTCAAAGCTCCACTAACAAAATTCTAATAACTATTATTTTATAGTGGTTTTACTGAAAGAGAAAGTACTATCAATCTGTATATGTTACATATATGATAATAGTCAACATCCCATTCTTTCTTTTATGTTCTTCAAAAGTCAAAGAAAGAGTAAAATCTTACTAGATAACAAACTTTTCTACTCGAAAAAGTTTTAGATTGTTTAAGTATCACATAAATAGTTTCTTTTTTTTTTTTTTCCTGATAACTGCATCTGCCAAGGTGGGAACATTGGCTGAAAAATTTAGAAGCAGATGCTGTCTGTCCCACTGCAGAGATGGACCCATTCACAGATGTGTAAGATTTTCAGTTATCTCTTTGCAGAGGTGTAAGGTACTAAACTATTCACATGCATTAGGCCGAAGGCTGGACAAGGTACTAGTAATGCTGCATCACAGGTAAGTGCAATTTAGAATGGAATCCCAAACAAGATCTTTAGACAGATTTATTTTATGTCCAATTTTTCAAGCATTGCTGCAATAGGAAAGCAATAGGGAAAAAGGATAATGGCACAGTAAAGTCTGGAAGGTCAACTGCACATAATAGGTGCAGTTTATCAGATAGCTATACAATTTTATCTCTACTGGCTACACAACTGTTAATTCTTTCCACCATTATGTAAAAGAGTTGACTGTAAAAATTCACTTAGCTTTCTCCAGGTTTTCAATTAAGATACCTGAAAGCCAGTAGCCAAGAGCATTAGTAACATGGGTTTTCAGCTCACAGAAATCTTATGAAATAAACTTAGAATATTATCTAGATTTGGAATTTTCAAGAAATAGACATTAGGCATATTCTTTGTCCTTTTTTTTCAGGAACTATAGATACCTCTTAATGTCCTACAGAATTCTGTCTTATATTTCAGTTTTCCCATCCATTCCCTTCATTGTTTACCAAATCTTTCTTTCCCTGAAAATGCACCAAAAATTATATGCAAAAGACAGGCTTAGCGGAATACTATATTTGTTGTGTTACATGCGCACATCAAGGAATTAAGAGTTAGTGTTCCCATAGCAACCTTATTTCTCTGTGCATTTGCATTAAAATAAGCTCTTAAAAAAAAGCGCATAACATGTATATAGTAATACAAAGCTGCTATATCTTTTACTCAAGAAGGGTGAGAAAAGTCCAGTAATTCTCATTACCATGTTTTTATTAGTATGCTGATGAGTGTTGTGTGAGCAGGTACTGGAACACTATTGCAGTAATTCAGTAATGCAGTAACTCTTAATTTGTGGTTCATAACATGGCAGAGAATCTTCCAGGACTAAGCTGCCTTACCTATCACTACAGATGTTTTTTCTTTCATAGTTAATATCATGCATAACAAAGGTGTTCTATCTAACATAATTGGTTAATATTAATAATAAAGAAAACAAGAACTGATTTTTTTTCACTACATATCCATAAGAACTACAGTGAAAGTTAAAAATCTTCTGGCTGTTCAACCTAAAAATTTCTGAAGTTCTTCTCTGTAAAATTTCAACTTTGATGTTGTAAAAAAAATTCATGCAGATATTTGGTTCTGTACATACATTTAGTAGAAACATAGTAAATCAGCATATTTTGCTTAACAGGCAGCTCTGGATTAAAGTCAATAGTTAAATGATCCCCTGGGACAGCTCAGCATTACAGTCTGAAGTTTTGTATTGTATATCTACAAAGCCACATATGCCTAAAATTATATTTATAAAAGATTACCAGTATAATAATAACAAATGATGTAGAAGGATAAATAGTGAAACAAAGTTCTTGTGTATCATAACTATTTACGTGTGATTTCAATATATGACACTGTTTAAAAGTCTTTCCCGGCAATGCAACTTGTTAAACTTGGAGTGGTTCTTTATAATAAGTAAACTTTCCCT